TCAATTTAATTACCCAAACATGGCAGGGGGCGTGACAAAACGTACGTTTTGAAACGGCAAACGTAACGTTTTGAAACGTTAAACGTACGTTTTGAAACGTCAAACGTACGTTTTAAAATCGCACGTCGCAAGCTTGAACGCAAATGGTAGTAATTTCATTGGACAAGATGTCACGACATCGAGGCTAACTCCACAAACATGAATTCTCAAATTCGCGTGGCATATCGAAACCCCCCGCAAAGACACGATTAGAATGCGTTCTCCTTCGTCGAACGCAATAAGCGCGAATTCCAAAGGCAAAGTGTAAGACGAAGCGAATGTATCATGCGGTTTATTTACATTTTTGAACAATTGAACTTCTATACTGCGATGTGCTTCTGAATTTCGCGATCGAACATTTAGGTTCGCAAGGCATCTAAATGCGAATATGTATGCGAAACAATACGCGAACTGTATTGTTTATGTTCAGAAGCTCTATATTGAAGACTGGCACGTGCGCCGGAGTTAACGCCAGAACGGCGTCTTGTTTGATTTAAATTAACACTCGAAAGCTAATAACTAGACTTCTTTTATACTGTATCGCAAAACATTTTATGTGACAGCATGCAATATACGCAGTGAAACACGCAATCTACTGATGCATGAGGAATTTAGTTACCTCAATCCGCGCGTGGAAATTTAGGTTTTCATCAATCACGCGTGGATGGATCTCGCAATCCTGCAAGGTATTCTTTTACTTATACGAAAACATGATTTAAAAGATCAAAATCTATTTCCGGTCAGCTTGTACTCGATCAAGTCTTTTACTAATAAATAACAGAAGAAAATGACCATACTTAAACGTCAGCTGTATCGTATAATGCGTATTCTTTGAGCCATCACGTTTTACTATAAAGTTTAAAAATTTGCAGGTTTTCTTTGTATACCTGAAACCTGGAGTCTGACAAACTTCCGGAACATACCACTGGTCTAGGGATGCAGTTAGTTTGTTAATATATTTTTATTCATTTTATATGAGACACAAACCTAATTAACAAAGCTAAAGAAGTTATCTTTCCTGGTTATATGTTCGAATATTACAAACTGATATTATAGTTAGAAGTTTCTATGAAGTTTCTATAATGTTTCCAAGATTAAAATTCCCATTATTATATAATCCTATCGCTTTGACAAGGCTAATGTCTTAGCATTTATACTCATGCATGATGTAGGCCAAGCATTGAAAATCAATTTTAAAAATTACATATAAAAGTGAACATGGTTTAGAAGTGATCTGAACATACGAAAAGAACTGTTAATATTAATCAAATAATCAACTCATAGTTTGCTAATTTGAGCATGTTTGTGAAACGTAAGACTTCTATCAATTCAAAATGTGTGGATTTGGGAAGACGGGACCAGACCTGTTCTTAAAACAATTCCATAAACGAAAAAGTCTGACCGGCAAGCAGCTAACAGCTAACTGCAAATTTCAAATCGCTTTTGGGGGCAAGTAGCTAGCTAATTCATGCTTCAGTTTTCATAGACAAATTGCCCTCTTCGAACAACTTCGAACAGCTAACAGTTAGCCTCAAAATATGATTTGAAATTTGCAGTTTGCCGTTAGCCGAATGCCGTCAATCTTAAATAATGTCCCTATTGTCGATGTTTTACAGAAGATAATTATTTTATGTTTTCACTTTCAGTTCTTTCTTCGGCACGTGGTCACATGTTTAAACATTTGAAGACACATTGTCAATTGTGATTGTAATTTCATTCTCAGAACCGGGTAATTCGCTATTTGAGTCGTCCACATGATAGGTTGTACTCAATTCAGTCCGACGTAATTCAGGCTTCTCAGCCGTCAGTTTGTCCACTAATGGTTCCACTCGTTGTTTTAACTGTTGTCTCCACGCATCTTTCTGATCTTCTCCTTTTTTCGCCGCAACAATATTCATAATGTAAGGAAAAGCACTCACGCTGAACGTTGTTAGCAACTGGACTGTTGGGGAAACATCGCTGGCTTGAAGAACTCGAACAAGAGTGAGAATAAGATAAGAGAAAAGAAAAGCGAAGAAAACTTTTAACGCGAAGTAAAAAAGACTCACATGGTATGGTAAGAGACGTTCTCTAATATTATCATAGAGTTCCTTTGATACCACGCACACAATTTTATCTTTTTCATCCAACACACCACTTCCTTCACTGCCGGAGTCATTATCAACAATGTTCAAGTATGAACCGCTCACGTTGTTGAGGACATTATCTAGTTCATTATGAAGGTCATTGTTGTTGCTATTGTTGAGGTCATTGTTGTTGTCGCTGTTATTTTTGTAATCCATGTTGCAATCATAAATCAGCCTCATCAAGACGACATATTGTTGTTCAACAGATGACCAAAACATCCAGGAGTAAAATGTCAGAATTGATATGTAAACAATGTAAGGGAAAAAGTAGACAATATTGAGAATTATGCCTGAGAGTAGCCCAACTACAACCTTAGGCATGTTGAGAAAACAAATGAATAGAGGAAAGATAAGAAAAATTGAATTCCATAAATGCGTTTGGAAGAAAATACAATATAATCGCCTCCTTTTGTTGCCGAGGGCGGGGAAAGATCGAGTTGAAAGAAACAAAGTAATAATGCATGCAATAATTAAAGCAACTTGCAATATAAAAACAACTGGAATGTAAACCAAACAAAGAAAAACAACTTTAATGTACAGCAGAACTTTATACCGCGCAAAACATCGTGATGTATTAGAGGACTTGACAGATTCAAAAAATATAATCAACGATTTTTTCCACATTTTTATGTTAAAAGGCAACGTGACTAAACCAATGACTTTCGATTTAGCCTTGCGCGACAAATAGATATCTATGTTATAACAAAAATAATCAAATGCTGCAGGTACAATAGGAAATAAATGCAATAGTCGTGAGAAGTCAATTTTCACAAAAATATTCTCAGCATCGTAATATATGATCGACAAAGGAATGGACAACGCCGAAAGAGCAAAATACACAAGAGGAAAAACGCTAGAGTGCTCGAAAAATTTCAGTGTCCAACACAACAGGAAGATCACTACCAAGAACAAGCACCTGCGTACAAAAGATCTCACTCTTCCAAAACCATCCCAAAACAACAGACGCAGAATGAATAGTAATGACATCGGACTTTCCGTTAACCTGTAATAACCATCGTTCTTATTTTCCTTTTTGACTAGTAATATCATGGCAATATATAATAACACAAACAGATATAAAAGTTGGCCGTATCGAATCACCGATAACATGGATTTAATTGTGCGCACGAATTCAGATTCATCTGACCTCACATAACAATGAGGATTATTGTTAAAACTCTTGCAGCATCTCTTTTGCGTGGTTTGCCTTGAATTTTTGTTGAAACAAATTTCTTTCTCCTGGATCATAGACAGTTGCCTCAAAAGAGAACTAGCAAGAAAATCTTCTGGTGATTTTTTTGATGTCGTACATCCGGCAGGATTAACGCTTACACGCAATCGAGTTGTTCTTTTCCCAACGTCAAGAGTCCAAGTAGGCCAAGTGTAGACACTATCCACGGTGACTTTAATTTTGAGCAATGCCAAGATATTATGACCGATATTGTCTGTCCACAGCCAGCTCCACTTCTTAATGGTGGAATTGTTGTCTTTAGAGGTGAATTGAAGATCAAGTTGTACAATATGAATAATCTTATTCCGACCTAGTTCCTGTAGAAACCACAAATCTGTTTTGTTGACGATCAAACGACATTCCTTGTTTGTTTCACTTGAAGCACTTTTAATATTGTAAGTGTCGCTGTGATTCGTAAACGAATACACTCCGTGAGTATCAGCTGTTACCAATAAAACAATACCAAGCACGCAGAGAACACATTGGAAAGAGGTAACCATTTCGAGTTAACAAGAACTGTTAGCCCTGAGTGTTAGCTTTCGTTTAATTCAAAGAAACGAAAAACGTATCGATATATATCGCTAAACCTCAGTCACATTTCCATACCCATTGTATAGGGGCGGTAGGGTTTCCACAAAATATTTGCATGTGCATGGCTTTCCTCGCAGAGGGATGGGATTGTAAGAAGACAAAACGAACTTTTTTAAAGAATGCTTAATAATATTAATACCGACCCTATCCCCCACGGTAATTATCTTGTGCCAATAAAACTCCTATGGGAGGGTAGTCATGTGTTCGCACGGTATCTTGCATGTTAAATGTCATTTCCACTGATTCTAAACATTTGTCTCTATACTAATTTTATGAGCTAGCTGTGCGAGCTAGCCTACGTGTGTTACTCGACAGAATGATCATGTTTGATCACATATCATAAAGAGGACATCATTACTTCAGATGCAATTATGTCATTTTCTAAAAGTGGTACTGGTCAACATATCTAAAAATCTGCCGAGTCAGTAAACTCAGTGTGCATCCATAAGTTATTAAAAAACGTGCATCATATTGTTAAGACATGCTGTGAGTAAAATTCTTCTACATCCATGCACGGTAGATTATATATATGATATTGTGAATTGATTATGGTTAGCTATGTATTTTATAGGTTTATATAAAGTGTGAAATGATGCAAATGAGTGTAGCCAATAAAATTATAGGAATTTAATTACCTCGATACGCGCGTGGAAATTTAGGTTTCCATAAGCGCCCCGGTTTCCATCAATCTTGGATGAATCTCGAATGTGTCAATCCGTGAGAAATATTTAAAGCAACAAGCACAGTGTTGTTAAAACACGCTGTGAACTCGCCATGAGGTATTAATGGTCGCTGCGTAGCGATTAACTTTTATCTATATGTTGTTGTTTGGCATTGCTATAAATATAGGTCATTGCATCGAATATATATACATATATATATATATATGTAACAAGTTGTTTCAAATCCAAAAGGCTACCTTTCGAAATTCGCTCCGACCATTCCATAACTTACATTGTCAAAACATAGCTTTTTATGCATAGAAATACGCTCGGTATAATAAATCTGCCTACCTCATTAAAGCCATTGTGACGTGTTTCCTCGACTTCTTTCTTCAAATTGTTTATTTCATTATCCTTATTCATCAAGAGCTTGGCTCGTTCAGCAAGATCTTTGGCTCTCTGTCGTGCAAACGCCTTCTTGAGATTGCCCACATCGGAGTTATTCATTCCGCTTGATTTCTAGCGAGAATTTTGAGCAGAACTGTGAGTCGAAACACATGATTTTCAATACAAATAATATTTTCTTGAATACACCCAGTCGTTGGTCTGCTAACTCGGAATTCTATGACTGGGGTGGTATAAAAGACTATAGTCTATAGTTAAATTTTAACTGTAGTTAAAGACAGAATTGGCCAATCAGAGTCATGATTTAACTAGGATTTAACTATGCAAAATGTAGTTAAAGAGTTTCATACAACCGGCCCCTGATTGTAAATTGTTAAGTCTCAATTTTCGCACCATGCACTTTCACATTAATAGCGCACCATGCACTTATTAAATACGAATACCCAAAACATTGTTGAGTTTCTTAATTGTTAGAACACCATTGCTAGATCTGGCCAGGCTAGGCCATTTTAAGCTATTTACACAATATGTAAAATAAGTTAATAACACAATTGCAATTGTGACGAATGAAAAACAGTGTTTACCAACTTTATGCCATATTTTTGTTCATTCGTTGATAGCGGAATTTAAAATCTGACCTTTATACTCGTGGGAATCGAATATGCTACAATTAACCGTACGGTGTGTGGGGCTTTATTGTGTCTGAGATTAGTCACAGGATAAAAATGAGAAGTTCACGTCGTAGATTTTGTGGTTATTGCAATTCATTACTTAGACTGCAAAACTTCGATTAGGCCTATTCCACCGTTTCAGAAGGGGGATAAAAATTATAGGCTGTTTAATTAAACAAAGTCAAAGCTGATTGCATGCAAAATAAATTTTATAGAAATGGTTAATAAGTTCATGAACAAGAATATAATTCATCGCTATACTATCGCCACTCCCATTGATTTAAAACCAAAGTAGGGATAATAGCGATGAATTGAAACTGGGTTCCTAAGACTATATGTGCACACGGTAACGTTTTCGAGCATTTTCATTTTCGTCTTCATGCGAAAACGGTTTCAAACACCGTCAATTTACAGTAGAAGTTGCAGCTAATTTAACATATCGTCACAGCGATAAAGTAGATAAAAACGATTTTGAAAACGCTCGAAAACGACGCTCGTGAGCGCATAGCCTAAAACACTAGCGACTGTTTCATGTTGCACGTCCTCGTCGTAGATAGCATCATATAGCATTTTACACTCGCTTTTACGACGAAAACGCGGTCCAATTCAGTAAGTGGGCAAATCCTATATTGAGTTGCATTCTCTTGACAGCAATGCATGGCTCGCGGTGAGGAGTGTCACCATTGAGATGTCACTCATTCATAAATTCAGCAAATGGTCGGAAATTTTCGGTTTTGCTGGATTTTGACAACAAGGGAGATACGGAAATAAGTCAGAAAACTGGAACGCGATTTAATTTATAGATAAAACTGATAATTTATAAGGAATTTTTAAAAGCTGATTGTCTCGTAATATGATTGCGGTTTTCATATGAATCATATGAGAAAGCCTTGATCGATCCCAATTTTTCGGGAGTGGATCGATATTAGTTGTCCAGCTGAGAGTTTTAAAATATATCAGTCATCAGAAGTTTCTGAAAAATGAACTTAAAAAAGCCCTCAGCGTTTCTTTAAAGGCTTTACAACTTTGGTTTTTCGTAAAGATAAAGACCTAAAGTGGTCTTTATCTTTACGAAAAACCAAAGTGGTAAGCCTACGACGGCTACGAGTGAATTGGATCCGATAAAATTAGATCGTGATTGAGATCAACAAAACGTCGGTGCACCTCTGGCTCTCGGACCAAATTCAAATAAATCATCTGGCGTTGTTGTGACAATCATAATTACCTCCAACAAATCCTTTTCTTCTTGCAGATGTTTGGCTTTCTCTTCCAACTTTCTTGCAATGGCAACGAGCTCAGAATTCCTCATTTTTAGTTTCTTTATCCTTTCCTCGGCGACATTGTCAATATCTGACTCTGAGTTTTGGGATGCTGACAATCCTTTCACTTTCTAAAAACATTACAAACAAAATCATTGGTATTTAAACAACGACTTTTAAACAATTATTGGACAAGGCTGAGCATGATATATATGAGCAAAACTTTAATCACAGGTTCACTCATTTTACTATGTTGTAGTATTACTTGTGTCGGGTACAACTGAACACAAGGGAAGAGTGAATGACAAAAATGTATTTATAGAAATCTTTGAGCATGATGTGGTTAACCAACTGAATAAAGCCAAACACGTACGTGAAAAAAAATCATTGGCAATTCTTATCTGCGCATAACACTATTCTGTAATCAAGAAACAACAAAATTTGGCAGCTGCTATGAATATATCAAGATGCAGTAGCAGTAAGGGATAGGTGAGTGGGTGATTAATGATTCATACCCCAGGCTACAGAGGCATGCTTTCTGGCTTGTGTTCAAAAACTTCCCATCATAGAGGTACTCAGTAAGTGTGTCCCTCTATTAAGATATCCAATGTCAATGTCACACTGAGAGGGATGCATCAAAATACCCAAACGTACTTCAGTTCTTAAAAGCAGTCTTGCTGAGATGAACCCTGATTAAATATGTTCATCTATCTAAAAGCAGAATAGTTTTCCCAACAATGGAGGAGTACATACTTAATCTACTGTTAGTTAGCAGGTGAACAAAGGTCATGTTTTCATTCTCTTGTGTCATGCATCACAATTAAGACTAGGACTAGTTGCTCCAAAGTTGCAACAGATGCAATTAAAAAATTGCACTTTAAGTGAGATTTATAAAAAAAGTTTTACTGGCCAGCAAAAAAGTAGCTCATCAAATATACTGAAGCTCAAATTAGAGCTTATTTATATCTTCAAGTAACTAATCAGTGCATGGAAAAAAGGTTGCAAAATTGTCAGAGCAATTATACACATACACAGATAAAAATTGCAACATTGCAAGATAATATTGGAGTGTCTAACATAAAGGAACACCCAATTTCACTGACATTAAGTTAGTATGTATCACTCAGTAATGACCTTTGGCAATTATACATACATATGAAAACCTAATTGCCTTTGACTGAATAAGATGCCCAAAATTTGTGTTATAAAATTGATATGCATAAGGTTTCATTCTATATGCCATTCATTTCATTTGGCTTGTACAAAAGGAATCACTTCAACAATTTCATAGCTAATTCAACCTTAAGCTGTCAGAAATACATGATATTAGATTATTACATGTTCTAAATTGTTACATAGAAAACCAATGGAACATGCATAAAATGTTGCAAATTACTTTTAAGAATACCAGCGCAGTTCAAAAGATTTAAACTTTATAGTTTTTATATATGACCAGAGACAAAGTTTGCCCATATTTTATGACATGCATACTTTGAATGACCAAACGGAAGTCGTCATGCATGAATGCAATACTACGACGCCATCACCATGACACCACATTGATTTCTACAATGTATCTCAACACGTATTTCATTTCGAACAAATCTACATTCGTGGCCGTGGATTTTTTTAATCCCATCATAAATAATGTGCCCGGTAGAGCTCTCAATCATGCAAAAACCACATTCTTAAAGCGTGTTCGGTGGATACCACTTGACTGTGTGCTTGCATACACGAATGTTGGCAAAACTGATTAACCAAAATAAACATTGCCAAAATCGCTGTCTACTATTTTACGAACTTACAATAACTTTCTATCTATTTATTTGGCTTTGATGTAATGTGTTTAGACGATAGACGAACAATAAAGCCTCATAATCATTTATTGAAAGGGTAAACATTACATAAACAACTAAAATAATCACACCTTTTTAAAATCCGTAATGATCACCGGCCATTTATATTAAATACAAACTCACGCTATCGAAATTACCAGCCGGAAATTTTCTATTAGCAAGTAATATTTGTGTAGAATTAAAGTTTACCTGTGAATTGAACGAATTGCTTTTCTTCAGGCTGTCTCTACGTTGTAAATTAAGCTCGTTTCCCAAGTTGTTTCTCTCCCTTTCCAGACGTCTCATCTCTGCCTCCTTCGCAGCGAGTTGATGATTTTTTAATTCGACTTCTTTCGAAACGGCTTTTAATTGCCTAAACTCTTTCATGGATTCTCGCTTTGATTCCCTAGTGAGTCGTCGTATTTCTAAGTCGTGTTCTTGCTTAAGCTTTCGTATAAGCTCGGCCTTTTCGAAATCAGCTTCGGATTTAATCCTCAAACTCTCCTCCAAGCGTTTCTTATCGTTTCGTAGCGAACTAACTTCGCCCTTCCAACGTCTCTCGTTATCATTTGTGTCAACACCACGGGATTGCTCACTTAGTATTCGTTTATTTTCAACTTCTAAAATCCTTGTAGTGTTCTTGCTTTCTTGCAATTCCTGCTTCAACGTTCGCATTTCTTCGTCTTTGACTCGCAATACTTGACGAAGCTCGTGCTCCTTTTGTTTTGCCACCGACTCTTTCATTTTCTTTAGCTCGTATACTTTATCGCTTTCTAGTTTCTTGGAGACATTCTCGATAGCTTTCTGCTTCTCGTGATCTAAATTCTCTTGGAGTCGTTTGATTTCTTCGGATTTGTCGCGATGCACCCTCTTTACCCGATTCTTTTGCTCAGCTAGTTCAGATTTGAGCTTGGAAACATATCGCCTCATTTCATCCTGGTTTCCCCACAAATTACTCGATCCGCCCTGCTGATTTTGGACCTTTTTTGCTCCCCCATGGGAGTTCTCGTTTGCCAAAGGAATCCTCGAGGCCATAGAAAATATTCAAGCAATTGAATTCGCAGCCCCTGGCTTGCAAACCCGTAAATTTGCTATCGCGAAATCTGGCAACGGCATAATTTCTGATCCAAGCGAATTTCGGCCGTAAAATTGCAGCATTTTACTCCCTCACGTCCAAAGAGATTACACGCCATAGTAGATACGGTCATTCCGATATTATGTTTATTTAAAACACCGTTTAAATCAGTTTAAATCAGGCTTATTACGTTACAAAATTTAAACCTTGTGTATTTTATACAACTCTTCGGCATGACGGCAGCTTACATTTTGATTATTCGCACTCTTCCAAAAAAGGCAAGCGTGACCATATTTGGAAGATTCGAAATCGACTTTGTCGATTTCATTCAAATTTCCATATCGACTTGCAAAGATAAACATAAAATATCTTCCACGAATTAAGCGATTTCTTTGGGTAAACACCTTCGCAAAATGACAGAAAACGTGTTCCTGTTCGTCCCAAATTTAATTGGTGAGTGGAACAAAAAGAAATTCGATGTGAAATGCATCGAAATAGCTAAATGTCCCTTTGGGAATTGCCCGCCATTAAAAGGGTGGGTTAATGATTAATTTTTTTAAGAAATCGTACAATCGTACCTTTTCTGTTATAAATATACGCATATGGTGTAATCAAGCTGAAATGCAATAAATACTATTTTGCATAACAGCCATTTCTGAATCTTTTGCAAGGGATTCCACTGACTAATGTCATACATGAAGGCTCACCAATTAGTGATCAGTACAACTTATTTTTATGCTATATTTTTATTTTCTAATGCCATCCTCTCGAACGTTTACCATTCAGGAGCAAAGTTACCAGATTGCTAAATAAATAAGCTTGAAATTGTTATCACATCAAAAGGCGGCCTAGCTATATAACAATGCTAAAGAGATTTGTTTATTATTAACTGTCCTGAACCCAACATGTTCATGCAGGACAGACTGGACAGTTAATTAAACTGAGTTTGAGCAAAACTTAAACTTGTGTGAACTATGTTTCCTATGTGACCACATGTAAGTGCTGGTTGTGACTTGTGTGTAGTTCTTCGAATATTTTCATTGCAGACAACTATAAAAAAGACCTTTAATTAACTGATCTGAGTATATATCAAAAAACTTCTTCCAAACTTCTCAAAAAAGAACACTTGTTGACTCACCCATGTTCCTCCACTTTATGTCTCTATTTTTTAACTAGCTAAAATAAAACGTTTGTTAAATTTAAAAAAAGTTCATGTTCTATAAATTTTAGATTGTTTCAACCCATGAAATTATACATTGTTTGTAGGTAGCAAGTCTGGCAATTTATAAGCATTTTTTTTTGTTAGGCTATGGTCGAATCATCCTAGCGTTTGTGTCATTTTACTACATGGCTGATAGTCCAGTAACATTTACAATATGTTATCTGCTCAGTAGTTTTCTGGATGCCTTTGACGGACATTTTGCTCGTCTTCTAGGCCAGGGTAAGAAATGTGATTTTAAGCGCTAAGGTAGACAGTTCTGTATCATATTGTCCTTAATGTATAACTAATTCCAAATGGTGTTTTAACAATTTAGCATCAAAGTTTGGAGCAATGTTGGACATGCTTACAGACAGGTTAGGAGTATTTGTATACCTATAATAATTTACCAGGTATATTATTAAATTGCTCTTGATGTTCACTCAATAGTTTTGTATGGTACTTCGCTGATAGTTTAGTGGCTGCACAGTAGTTTATTGAGTGCCTTTTACTAAGAATATAATCTCCAAACTCGGTGGATGCCAGAACAAAGACACTATTATATGAACTATATTGCCAACCAGTGCAGCAAGTTCAGGTGCCCTCCATGGCTCCATGCTTGTAATTTTATCATGCAACAACATTGTTCTACCATGTCCAATACAATCAGCCATGATACATGTAAGAAGGATGTTAGAATTCAGGTTCAACATTCACAATTGAAACAACATTCATATACTGTTCATGTTGAAAAAACTTGTTAGATTTGAAATTTAAAAACAACCCAAAGGGTTGAAAGTTCTTAAAACACCGTCCATAATCCAGGTATCTGACCTGATTCAAAGTTTGATTGGCTCATTAGTCTCGCGGAGCCACTCAAACGTACGTCTGGTAACATCACACCACGCACTCCGTGTTTTACGTCATTATGCGAAAGGACCCTATTGCTGATAAATTTTCGCGGATTAAAACAGTTTGACTGTTACGAAATCTGTTTTAGGCTGTAGTTTACTTACAATAAACCGATAAATTACTCTACTATTTTCACAACAATGTGTAGACAGGTGGGTTTTTTACCATATTTGCTTTCGACTCTCGAGATTTCGTTGGGTTTACCATTGATGAATAGATAAATGTTCACTGCAAATTAAACGTTGTGCAACTCAAAGGATTGAATTGTGTACAGCTCACAATAATCATACTACAGCTATGATATACGCTGAGATGCAACCAAGTGTAACAATAATGTGGAACACCGCAAGACTGTAACAATATAGTTACATCGCAAACGTTCCAAACTTGTTAGAACACTTCGCGCCTGCATTCTAATTAATTTATTTATCTATTCCAAAGGTGTGCAACAACGTGTCTTATGGTGATGTTGAGCGAGTTCTTTCCCTCGTATCGCGTTGTCTTTCAGTTTCTCATTTCACTGGACATCAGCAGTCACTGGTTACATATGTACAGGTAAGCCGTGTAACCCCTGAAAATGGCCTGCACCGTTGTTTTAACGCATTGTTTAATAGACCTTTTTCATAATGACGTCAAACGCGGAAAGTCTGATGTTACACAAAATTTCATATTTGCTCGATAGTTTTGTGGAACCAATCAAATTTCGTGTAACATCAAACTTTCCGCGTTTGACGTCATTATTAAGAAAGGACTATTAACCGTAAGCGTTTTGCCCACTGGCATTGGGACGATTTCTATTCTAAAGGAGTCTGTTCGTCTTGATTGAATATTCGTCTTTTTGCTTGCGTTTACACAAGGCGAGTTTACGATGCACTAGCCTAAACACAGACCTTCGTTTCGTTTATAGCTACAACGTGATATGAAAACAGCCGCTGTTTTCAGGAACCGAGTTTTAAATTGTTGAAATATGTCTCTCATTCTGTTTACTGATGATCTGTTTACTTTATCCCTGTTGTAAAAGTGTAAAAATAACAGCACTATTACTTCACGTCCACGTTGGAGATAAAGTCACTAATGAAAAAATAACTAACCAACTTATTTTTTCTATGTCCAAGTTTGCCTAAACGGTTGCTTGGTACATAATCATTCGCAAAATGTAGTTACCACTGTCTATAAATCGTAGGACTGATCGTTTTCTAGGTAGGATAAATCAGCAGATCTTTTTCTCTTTTCCAGCTCGCTGATAAAAGGCGATCAAAGTCACAAAACGTCCACAAACTTCTTCCTTCGACTTTACTACACTTCCAGGGTAGGTTTCGTGCTACCGTCTACGGTACCAGGCAGGTACCAGCCCGGACGTTTCGCAAACCACGCAAATCTGACCGCCACAAGTGTGATTAAAAAACCGAAAGGATTGTTGGGTATTCAGTGGTGGATTTATAGTGGATTTGTATTTTCATCCACAACCGGGGATGAAATTTTTTACCAGTAATGCTTTTCCGCAAGTGAAAATCCAATAGTGTGAAAATCAGGCTGTCAAGACTGCACTTCGCTAAAAGAGTAATGCAATTTTTGAGGATTTATATATTTTTTCCATTCTTTAATATTTACGACTTCAGTATCGAAAAATTTCAATGGACCTTATGCGCTATAGACCGATTTTAGTTCTGAGAAACAAGAACATATTATCACAGCTTGAAAGAGCATACTAATTAGTATTATTACAAAGTTTAGTTTGCAAAATGTTGCAAATTCCGGAGAATATATTGTAGCCATGCGAAGTTGGTTTCCTTTTTACCGCCAAGACAGAAAATTTGGCATGTGGTGTGGACTGGGCGTAAGAGATTAATACGTTGTTTCTATGTTTCAGACTGTTCTGTTCATCATGTGTATGGGAAACGAACTGTTTTTTGTCGCGTTGTACTTCATTCACTTTTCATACGGGCCAACAGGTATGTTTATGGACAACCGGATGAAATAGGAAACCAGGGGTGCTCGCACGCATTTATAAACACAAACTTTTACCTAATAAACTTGATAATACATTAATTACATTAGATCTTTGTTGGTGTTTCTTGGCGTGAAATAAAACAAATAATGAATGTTTTCATCCCTGCAATGGAAAGAATATTTTCATTCGGTGAAAGAGGAAATGTGCCATTGCACTCGACTTTCGCCTGTATTTAAAAAGCTCACTCAAACTCACACTGTTTTTTCTTAGTCAATGAGTAGATTTAAGCTAAAACATTGAAAATCAAGCTATTTGTTTAACTGAAAATACCGCATGCAATTGAAAAGTTATAGGAAGATTGAGGTCTCCCACTCAATGAGTTTGAGTGTGAGTGAGCTTTTTAGAATACAGGCGTTTGCCTCGTTGAATTAACCATTCCATCTTTCACCTTGTTGAAAACGTTCTTGCCATTGCACTCATAAACATTCAATGTTAATACAAGATACCATCCTGCAACATACATACATACGTACCTTATATTGCAACTTCATCAGACACACCAATACAGTACATATTTAATACGTAAGTCGATTAAGACATTGTCTGGAAACTTAGCTGAGGTGATTAACAGTTCTTTCTTCTGTATATGTTGATATCTAAGTAGATAGACGATATTTCCCGCTGTCAAAAGGGTGTGGAGACAGTTATCAAGCTCCCGGCGGCGGGGAGGGGGTTGCTTAATAACGGGAACATGATAGTTTAGACTTTTTCTATAACTAACGCTGGCTTGACACGATGTACAATGCTGTTCGTAACGACATCATGTTTATCGAATTTTTAGTTTTTACTGTGAACGACGTTCCAGTTGGTTTGTGGTCATTAGTTGCCTACGTGAATTTCCCGATATTTTTCCTGAAACAATTGATCAGCGTGATTCACTTGGTGACGGCCTCACAAGACGTTGTTGCTTACGATGTTGCTGAAAGACGGAAGACTAACAGTTGACTAACCGATCAAGCAGTTGACGAGGTAATGAAAAGAAGATTAACGAATCTCTCCCTGGATGTATACTGGATTTAATTTAATCCTTTTTTATACGTAGTATAAGAGCAGTTATAAAGTAGACATATAAACATCGACGTTCCGCCGAAGGTCTTTCGTCATATATTTTACGGTGGTTAAAGAAAGGTTTTGATTGATTGAACTGTCCTGACGGATGGCAAAAGGTGTTTTTAGCGAACTTTAGCGATTTAGGACGGCGACGCCACGAGAAGATTCCTTTAAATTAATGGTCGAAAGAAAACTTTCCGAATATTATCAATTATGAAATCAATCAATTATAAGTGCAATGATAAAGTTAAATACATCATTTTTTATGAATGGGAGAACTTTCACTAAGCCGACTTGGATTAAGTTGCACCTTCTAAGGCTAAATGCTGGTGTTCTACTTGAGACCTGATGTCAGTTGTATAAAGGACTAGTTAACTTTTACCTGTGGTTAAGGACAGAATTGGCTAATCAGAGTCGTGTGTATTTTCGAGTTAACTAGGATTTAACCATGCGAAATGTAGTTGAAGAGTTTTATACAACCAGCTCCAGGAAATCTGCGATTTACCGCGTCGCAAAGACGTAAACAGCGAGTACGCTATCTGAGACCGCAAAGGTACTTCATATATCCAATTTACCCATCATTATACCCTAGCTATTTCGTCGTGATTGACGTCGTAGATCTTATACGTTGTTATGCCACCTTTGACGTGAAGTTATTTTGTTTTTCTTTTTCATCATGCCCGTTTAGTATGCTTCCCAGGCCTCCGCTGCACTCAAGATATTCGTCAGAAACTAATTCACCAACTGATATAATCATTTTCTTACATTTTATAGTTGTTAAGCTGATGAACTTGCAAGAAAAAGTTGAAATTCCACTGCTCCGGTCACTGGACGGCATGTGCTGATATTCAAACAGTGAGAGAAATTTGTTTTGGGCAACGAACTAAAAACTCTTGATTTGCATGAGGTCTTAAAGGTGTTAATAGCTTTTACGATCATTGCATGTATTTCCTCTTGTTATTATTCTTCGTTGGATGTTAATTAATCTAACATAATAGACAGTTATATACAAGAAAACATATACAGTTTTGTTGGTTTGCATATTTTCTCCTGCATGCATGCTGGTACGGTGTACATAGACGTCGTTTTCGAGTAAATTTAATTTCTTTAATTTCTGCTTTAACGCAAAACAGATTCCATACGAGAAGTGTGGGAATTTCAACCCGAAATTAACCAGTTTCTGCCGAAATTATTGGTAAATCGGAAAGTTTGTACTGCATGGAAAACCGAAAGCCAATACCAGACGAGAAGTTCAGATATACCTAAGAAACAAAGAAACCAATCTTCAAACCATACATGAAAAAAATCTCTGGCAACCAGGGGCCGGTTGTATCAAGCCCGTTTAGCTTAAACGGTGGATAAGTCAAAATAAAATAACACTCTTACATCTCTCTTAAACGAGTCAACTTGAATATTATGCACTGAATATGTAGTGGTAAACTGTATCTTTGTATTAAGGTACTTATCCACCGTTTAAGCTAAACGGGCTTGATACAACCGGCCCCAGGGTGCTGCATTGCATGACTGTCAGATTATGGTTGTCTTCAAAATCGAGTGTGTTTTTTGTGCTTTTTCATGACATATAAGGCACGCTGATCTCGCCATATCAGCCAAAAAGAACCTCTTTTTTACGCCCAAGGAGATATAAACTCTTATTAACAATATAGACAAAAATATATGATATATCATACATCGTGCCGTAATACTCTCGAAAATGTTGTGAGAAAACTTGGAAGGCAGCTATACGACTCTCTTGTATCTCCCTTCCCCCCCTCGAGATTTGCCTCAAGCACCATGGGATAATTGCTCATTCATAGACTTTGACTCTGTCTTTCTTTAACAAAATACACACAAAACAACTAACACTTCTCGCTATGAATAATCACATAATTGAATAGGTTTTCGAATAGATATCACGTCTTCCATAATGAGCAATTGTTACGGAGTCGTAACTCAACCGATAATCGCGATCACGATATTCTTCGAAGAGAATTGCACGATATTCAATTCACCTCATTGCACGTTATTTTCTATTGCTGAGACTGAGAGTTTAGTGAATTTATCTGCTGAGGACTTTGGCTGCTTGGCAAAATGGCCGAAAACGTATTTTTGTTCGTTCCAAATTTGATAGGTAAGTGCCGCAATAAAAATATTCCAATGCATGTAAAAAATGGCGCGTTTGAATTACAAATATTGAAGAAAATAAAGAAATTGGAATTGCTTGCTGAGAAGCTATCACAAAATACGAATGTTCATATAATATTAATAGATATTATTCAATATTAATGACTCGGAATTTTATATGTAATTGATTTAAATGAGAGAGTCCCTCGTCTGTACCAAGATAGACTATCCTTATAAACTAAGCAGAGATAGATAATATTACAAGATTGTGGATTAGGGGATAGCATACCTAAAGCCGCGTTTACACCACGTGCTTTGAGCTGACATGGACCATGTCTAGGCCAAGATGTGAACGTTGTTTGTCTGGCCTGTAGACGAGGCCTGGGGCAGGCCACAAAATCTAGACCAACAGAAGAGGTGGCTGTCGTAATTCGGTGATTTATATCGATGTATTTTCTATTAAAGTTTTATTTCATATTCCTACTCCTCGCTTACAATACTAATGTAATTTTCCCAATCCTTATCTTAATCATATGCATGCACTGTTCACGTGTCCGTCATTTCTAAATATAATTAATTGTCACACGACATCCTCCCCTTTTTGGGAAAGTTTCACTATTCAAAAAATATCAATTATTGTTAGATGTTAACGAGTGTAAACGTCACTGACTAAATTTTTCTTCATCTGTCTATCCATGCTGGAAGTAGCTAGGCGGTTTCCCTGTGTCTGCTGGATCTTCTTAAAGGTGGGTCTGGTGGGTTTAGTGGTAAAGGTTGCGGTGGGGTTTCTTGTTTATCACCAGATGAATTGTAGGGTGGTATGAGATCTTCTAAGTCTTCATCGTTGATGTGTTCTGCGGTTGGCGCGTTTGGTTGATTAAACTCTTTCACATGGGATGAATTTCGGCGATAGATTTGTCCGGTTTTGCTTCGCATAACAATCTGAGAGCCGTTGATGCTGATTATTGTGAGAGGGTCCGGGTTGAACGTTGTTGAAAATTTATTGACATGCGGTTGTTTTAATACGACCAATTCGCCTTTCTTAAATTAATGAGGTTTGGCTCTTCTTTTCTTGTCAGCTAGCTTGATCTCACTGGCAAGTGGGTTGCTGGGTGGTTGTTGGATACTAGGTACCTTGGTTCGCAACTCTCGGTTCATTAGAAGTAATGCTGGTGTTTTCTCTGTTGTGCGATGGGGGGTTGTGCGATAATTGCGAAGCATTATTGGAATGGATTCCTTTTCAATTCTTTCCTTCAACTTATAAGGCGGTTTGGATAAACTTCAGAAGGATCTAGTTGAATCGTTCCACCAATCCATTCGCCTGGGGCCAATATTCAGTGAATGTACGTGGTTTGATTCCCCAATCCTTGAGGGTATTTCTGAATTCCACAGAGGTGAAGTAGCGCAGTGGCGTAGCCAGCCCGACAATTTAGTCATGCTATGCTAATAGTTTGCAATTGCTGTTCATTGACTGTGAAAACAATGAATTTCTAAAGAAATGAATAATGATAATAACATAAAATTTGCATAGCATGACTAAATCGTCAGACTGGCTACGCCACTTGAAGTAGGTCGCATTATCGGTTTGCAGTGTGATGGGATAACCGTGAGTGGCAAACACAGAATCTAACCATTTGAGGATTCTTGCTGATGTGGTGGTCGTAACAACTTCTACTTCGACCCATCGAGAGTAGTAATCGATCAAGACTAATGCATAGTCTCCGGTTGGGAATGGACCACAGATGTCGAAGGCTAGATATTCCCAGGGGCAACTCGGTAGTGGAGTCGAGTTAAGTGGGGTTGGTTGGGTTGGTTGGCCAGTTACTTGACAAGGGTGACAGCGTTTAACGAGTGCCTCTACGTCTTTATCCATACCAGGCCACCACCTTTTATCTGAGTCGATGTTTGCAACGGGTGATTCCTGCGTGATCCTCGTGGGCTGCTGTGATGGCTTTCGTGCGCAATTCGTTTGGAAGAACTATTCGAGTTCGACGGAGAACGATGTCGTTTGCCACACATAGCTCGCTAGCTACGCCTTTAAAACTACTGGGGAGTTTGTATGGAGTATTTTCAGCGATGCATTTTCGAACAAGCTGCAGTTCCGGGTCATGGACAAAAGCTGAGCGAATTTCTTCTGTGTCGATTGCTCGAGGTGACATGTGTTGGGCGATAAGGTTAACATGTCTGTCAGCACTGTTGTCGCGCTTTGATGGTGGTTGTTTTGGTGTCAATCTTGATAGGGAATCTGCTAGGTTTTGAGGACCTGGACGGTGCAATCGAAGTTGCCATCTCTCGATACGAGCTGGAGGTGGTTTACTTGATTTTGGCTGGAAGATGTATTCAAGGGGTTTATGGTCAGTTTCAAGCTCAAATTTTCTGCCAAATGGGTACATGTGAAAATGTTCACACCCGAATACGAGTGCGAGAGCTTCCTTTTCGATGTGACCATACGTACTTGACTTCCGTGGTGGTGAGTGAACGACTTCCATAAACGACTGGACGGTAGTTGGTGTCGGGTTGTTGTTGTAGGAGTATGGCTCCAACTGCCCAAGGAGAAGCAACAACTACCAGCTTGGTTGGTGCGTTCAGATCATAATGGGCTAAAACAGGTGCGGTCTTTGTGGGGGTCAAGCGGTGAAAGAGGTGGTAAGCCGCTTCGAGGGGCTCCCGTGTTCAACGAACCAATTGCTTGCTGAATCGCCTGTAATTCGGGACTGCTTTCGTTTTGCTGAGACGTTGTTGCCTCCGTTTGTGGTTCAGGCGGTGGCATTCTTCTTTTCTTGTTGCCAAATGTCGTAATTCGATGATTTATATCGATGTATTTTCTATTAAAGTTTTATTTCATATTCCTACTCCTCGCTTACAATACTAATGTAATTTTCCCAATCCTTTATCTTAATCATATGCATGCACTGTTCAATTTTCAAATTTTGAGGGTTAATTTTATAGAATAAATTCTAGTATCACCATGCACCTTTCGGCGTCTTTTCCAAGTATTTTGTATTGTATCTTGGCTTTCAGACCTGGTCCAGGCCAGAGTGTTAACGCGGCTTTATAAACGCATAGTCATAGTAATAATTAGCCTTCTCCGCAGGCATCTCTTATGTATTAAATGATATTAGGTTATTAGGCATAGGTTAGCTGTGTCATGGGGGGCGAGGAAAAAATATGCATATTTTTAAAGGACAAACTTTTTCGGGTGATAGTTTAATGCTATTCCCGTGGTACTTTGGCGACCCTGCCAACCTGGGTTATGGGACAAATTGCCCCCTCCTCCTGCGGGCCCTCCTTGTGACTTTCCTACTTTTTTAGGCTACGTTCGTATATTTCTTGCCATTCTGTCATTCTACTACATGGCCGTTAGTCCAGTAATATTTGCAACATGTTATTTGCTCAATGCTTTTCTGGATCAATTTGATGGATATTTTGCTCGTCGCCAAGGCCAGGGTACGAAATTTGATTTTTTGTGACAAAATCCGCATATCGTTGCTCATACAATGTTGTTGTGAAAACAATTAACGTCATATTTTTTGCTATTCAGTATCAAAATTTGGAGCAATGTTGGACATGCTTACAGACAGGTTAGTCTTTATATCTAATTCTCTAACTGGTATTTTCAACGCACCGAATAACGAGATTTTTAAGGCCTTGGTTAAACGTCGCATTTTGGTCGCTTCGAATGCAATTCAAACAATAGATAATGAGATGATAAAACTAATTACAGTAAGCCTCATTATTTGAATTGAATTCGACGCGACCAAAATGTAAAGTTTAACCAGGCCTAAGACAAATTAATCAAAGGGCAATAAATAACAATATGCTCAGTATGCTATATATACCAACATTAACCTTTTAAATGCTACACTTAAACTAAAACGAGTTCAGATCTGAACCAAAAATAAATTCCTGCCCCCAAAACATGAAAACATGAAATATGAACTGTGTTGTACTTACATTAGATCGGTCTAAAGGCATTTCTCTCTTAACCGTGTCTCGTGGTAGATATATACACACACACGGGTCTCGATCAACTCTGATAACTTCAAATAGACTCTCCAAATCACACGTAGTATACACGCTACGAATATTTAGGAAACGCTTTCCAGTATCTGGATCAAATATTATTAAATATATGAAGACTATTGTGCCGCTCGAGGCCCGCTAATGCACTTCAATTCTTTTCGTTGGAATGCACAATATTTGTACTTTCTCGTCCGTCGAATGTGTTGAAGATCCAACTAGCTGTGTTGCTCGGTAAAGAAGTCCTTAAACTTGTGAGTTGTGACCACACATTCTCACTTTCTTCGGAGCTAATGAAAGCTATATTTTCCTGTGTCGAAAAGCACCTTTTTTCAAAGTGCAAAGCCATAACTTGCATAAATAGATGCTGCGAACAGCATTTGCATTGAAATGCCAATGCAATTGATTATACTTCTGGGATTTGAAAATACGTTTTTGGCCTACAGGGTGTATAAAAAAGACGCAACCACTTAATATTCATGAATATCCTCTTTGTTCTACAACACAAAAGACGTTTGGCCCCTGGAATGCGAGAAAGCTTGTAATCATATTCTAGCGGCACAATCGTCGGTAAACAAAGTCGGGTGCGTAAACCAACGAGTTGAATTGAAAGTATTTAACGAGTAAAATATTATTTACAATTTATTTTACAAGGTCGACAATAAAAACTCGTTGTTCGGTTGTTAGCTGCACACCATTATTAGTTTAGCTGATTTGACCATTAGCAGTTGAACTGTACGATTAGAAGCCATTTTAAAATCCCAGGGGCATAAAATCTATTGAGCTTATGAACAATATGAATTTTAGAATATTAAGTGGTTGCGTTTTTTTTGATACACCCTGTACAGGGTGTCCCAAAAAAAACGAAAACTATTGAAATCACTCATTGTTAAAATTTGAATGCCGTGTTCACGAATTTCAGCCCGTGGGGATTTAATGCAACTTATAAAATGTTAGAGAAAGGGGACATGTCGAAGGTCATGGTCCTTGAGATACACATTTATATAATGTTATCCATATTTGTAAATTGTAAATATTGTTGATAAATATCATTTTTGCATGCGAACAAGCAAATTTTACTGCATCATGTGCTTTCGTAAAAATGGTATGGTAAACATTTATACAGCTGTGGGTCCCAACAGAGTGCTTGGGCATTCAAACTCTAACAATTGTATTGTTATGGGTGATTTCAATAGTTTTCGTTTTTTTTGGGACACCCTGTATATTATCCATACGCCATATTTTGTACGCGTCGAATGCAATTTAAACAATAGATAATTAGATGATAAACCTCAGCAGCATCTCATTATCTATTTTTGGATTGCATTCAACGCGACTAAAATGCGACGTTTGAATTCATGGACATAGTAGTTCAAACTGCAAAAGTACTGCAAAGCTCTGTTCACACGACCAACTTTGTCGGATCCAATACACTTCTGATGGATGTTTTATAGCCTGTTGACTTGCAATGCATATTGGACAGCATGCAAACCACTAAAGTCCCATTTACACCACACTAAATTAATTTAGACGCTCTCGGCGTATTAAAAGCTAAAAATGACTCACAATATTCCAAAGGTGTGCAACAACATGTCTTATGGTGATGTTGAGCGAGTTCTTTCCCTCGTATCGCGTTGTCTTTCAGTTTCTCATTTCACTGGACATTAGCAGTCACTGGTTACACATGTACAGGTAAGCCGTGTAACTTATGTGTTGTTTTGAATGAGGTGTCAATTGATAAAAGCCACCAATCTGATAGATGAAGTAACTAGGGTGTCAAGGCTAGTTTCAACTCAGGAAAAATCTCCTTTGGATCGGAACGGACAGGGAAATTTCCTTTGTCGGAAACTTTCCTGTCCTGTCCGAGTGGAAACTAGCCTTCAGTTGGGTATTTGGACAAATACGCACGACACAAAACAGGTAGTTTAAGATTCAATGAAATATGTTAATCTTAGGCTGCATGCATTCAGACAGAGTGCCCGGTACCGCGGTGCCCCAAGTCAAAACGGGTTCATCATAGATCATGCTGAGCAAGTGCCCAGTAAACTAATTATTTTTTTTCTATAGCTCGCTGATAAAAGGTGACCAAAGCCACAAAATCACAACAAACTTCTTTCTTCGTCTGTACTACTCCTCCTGGGTACGTTTCGTGTATTTCCAAAATATCAGAGTAGTTGAAAATTTTCACACGTCTATCTTGCCTACAATGCCAGTAAACGTTACAATGATATTCGGGGCTGCAGGTTTTTCATGTCGTGATACGTGGTTTCTATGTTTCAGACTGTTCTGTTCATCATGTGTATGGGAAACGAACTGTTTTTTGTCGCGTTGTACTTCATTCACTTTTCATACGGGCCAACAGGTAACGGTAAGATAACAACGCATACACAGGTGGGCTGGGGACGTAGAGGGGGGAACGCAGGAAGGTGGTTAGACAGAGAAAGGTGCATAGAGGAGAGTAGGAACATGGAGGCGGGTACAAACAGGGCAAATTGAGGTGGTGCAGAGTGCAGAGTGGATCGTGCTATACAAAACATAGGGTGCATGCGGAAGGAGAGGAATGTGCATAGAGGTGGGTATAAAGAGGAGGGGGCGTTGAGGTGCAGAGTGGAGCGTACAAAGGGGTGGGTACACAGCGTAGGGTGCACATGGGTGGAGAGGAATGTGCATAGTGGTGGGTATAAAGAGGAGGGTGCGTTGAGATAGGTAAAGGAAAGAGCGTGTATAGGAGTAGATAGCAAGAGGAGTGCATGGAGGTAGGTGCATGGCTATTGACACGAGCAATCATATTTTTTACATCTTCCGACACATCCTGATGAAGTTCCTGGTTGTGACAGTATAGTGCTCAGTGCTCTACGAAATCCACACATCATGCTGTGTTTAGTCTTGTATGAATAAGTTTCATTTTGTGTTCATGTTGATAACCAAATGAGCCCGAAATAAGTCCCCCTCTACCCGTCATGTAAACAGAATTAAGCTCCGTGAGGAAATAAACAAGGGAAATACATAGTTCAGTTTTGGGAATACATAGTTCAGTTAGACACGAAAGCGGGTACAAAGGGGAGGTGGGAGCAGAGTTGAGCGTGCATAGGGATGGGTACTGTTTTTTGATATTTTTCTGTTTATCATATCTTAGTTTTTACTGTGAACAACGTTTCAGTTGGTTGGTGGTCATTAGTTGCCTACGTGAATTTTCCGATATTTTTCCTGAAACAATTGATCAGCGTGATTCACTTGGTGACGGCCTCACAAGACGTTGTTGCTTACGATGTTGCTGAAAGACGGAAGACTAGCAGTTGACCAGTGGAACTTATTTAGATCGGAACGAATAAAGGAAATTTGTAATTGGTAGCCATTTTTGAAGCCAACATCGCGAACTTGAAGCTAAATTGAGGACTAGTGCCAGTCTCTCTTAATTGTTCTTGTTGACCAGATAATCAACTGTGCTGACATAAACAATGGTCCAATTCGCTGGGGTGAAAAACACAAGAATTACCGGTATTATTTACCAGGATGAGAATCGAAAGACTAATCTAATTGATACATGTTAACTTGCCGTCTTCTTCAGTGCTTATAAAAAATGTCTTGGTAAAAATCATTGAGGGGGGGGGTGGGGGCGACTTTTATATTATTCTCACAATATATTTCGCTACCAAACTTTGCGAGTTCACTAAATTTGGGATGTTTTTAAGGCTAAGTAAAATTAAGTGAGTTTAAGATAACTTTTCAAAATTTTCTTAAACATTTTGATATATATATATAGGGTTCAAATAATATTCATTATTTGGCAAATATAACTTTTAAACTACCTAAAATTTAAGGATGTAAAACTGTTCATTTGATTGGATTGAATCGTTTTGAAACGCATATCTAGTTGGCTAGTTTACCTACACCAGGTTCCACACAAACACGAAGATATTTTTTACTCAAGGCTAACTTGACCGCCTCGTTTATCTGGTCGAGGTCAAAAGATGGGCTGACAAGTTCGTCGTAAGGATATTTATCGACCGTATCGCTCAGGAAATCCACGGCTTGTTCCAAATGCCTTGGACCATAATTATGAATGCCTGTATTGAGCAAAATAACATAATTTTCAAAGAGATGGCTGACAACAGCATAAAGTGCATATAAACTGAAAATTTGGCTTTTTATATTCTATTTCCGTATTGGAAATAACGTGTTGGTAAACTTTCTTTTACGAACTTTTATATTTTCTATCCTGGAGTGATAGAGATTCGCTTGACCGCGGCAAAGTTTGGATCAAGGCACGTACACATAATATTCATAATGATCAACTCGTTCACATCCATCAAAAGAAGGATAGCGCTCCGAATGTCTCAGCAGAAATTGGACGCGTGAAAGAGGCCTAAGGCCATCACGAAGCGTTAAAGCGTGCTTAGTTCATTCGAGCAGCATAGATAAAGAAGTATAAAATGACATGTATATAACGCGTGTTCTGATTGGTCGAAGTCCGTGTCTAGATCAAGCCATCGAAACACTCGCTTATTGAAATAAAATTTGTAAAACTATCTTGTTGGTTTCTTGGTTTACTTCACAGTTTCCGTATTTGGATAGCCTGATCCAAACCCTTGGGATTCTTTCTTGGGTGAAGAAAAGCTTGTAGTAAATAAACAATTACTTGTAGTAAATAAACAATCCCATACCTCTAAAAGTCAAACACTTCCTAATAATTTGTTCAGCTGTAAGTTCAAGTTTTGAGTCCGGATGGACCAGGCCAACAAATGTATAGAATCCACCAGGCTTGATAACGCGCATGCCTTTGGGAAAGACGTTCTTTACACCGCTGACCTAAAATAACGAGGGAAACAGAAAATTAGTGACATGAATGCTCAGAAAAAACCAAAGCCAGAAAAACCTGCTTCTTTAAAAAAATGGACAAGCTGAGCGGTAAACTACGAATATAGAGAATGAAAATAGACAGAAGTGGCTGTACTTTTAAAATGTGCTTTTTATACTAATAGTTGGAAGGACTGGGACAAATGACTCCAGGCACATGATAGATCAGTTTTGTCAGAAAAGCTATAATCTTTTTCTGGGTTATTATTCCAGTTACCACACTAGCGTTCAGTGGATCAAATTGCTTACCTCCATCACAGTATCTATACTATTGTCCTTAAGTTTCTCCTCTTCCTGATTGGCTAAAAAAGCAATGATAAAGTGCAGTTACAAAATCTGCCAAAATTTTCTTTGGGTAAAATTTTAACAGTATTTTCTAATATGATCTAGGGTTGTCCCAGAATAAGTGTGTTGTAAAACAAGACCTTCACCCACCGCCATTAAGTGACACAGCTCCAAATTTCTCAGCCATCTTCAATCTTTCTGTGTGAACATCATAACAATAAATCTTTCCATATCCAGCCTCCCGAAATAAAGCACAACTGAAGATGCCAAGAAGTCCGGCACCCTGGAATGAAATATTAAGTTAATAATTATAAACTAAATTGCATCAAAACTCACCCTCACTATAGTTGAAGTACTACAATACATGCATATATATGCATGCACAAATTCATTCTGCCAAAAAGGTTGAGCTTATAATCAAGAATCTAGGACTATACCGGTAATATAATATATCATAGACATTTCAATGGGTCACCAATACTTTATGGAAATGGCTTTAAAGCAACAAATTTTAGCACCCTTTTCCGAACCAGATGCAAATGGGGGAAGGTTCTACACAAATTAAAGTTGTACAAAGTACTTCTTTCACTGCATCTTGTCAGATTAAGAGAAAGAACCTTAGTTGGGCTTTAAGAAATAACTATGTTACAAACCTGCACCAAGACAGACTTCTTTTTGTTTGCTTCTCGTTTTTTTTCCAAATTATGTAAATCCATCAATGGCTCTACAGCATTTGTCATGGATGCGAACGCACAATTTAGAGTCGCTCCAATCTTGTCATCTACATTGTCAGGCAGCTTCACAATGTGGGTCCCCTTGCGTAAAACAATATGTGTTGCATAGCAGCCATTCCAACCAGTCCCACTTGACATATCTGCATGACCATACTTAAAATGAAAAATACTAAGATGAAGAAAAAGACCATAGACATATTATGTATAATATAAAGATTATAACAACTATTACCAGCTTTTTTGTGAGGTATTAATTTTAAAGAGGAAAAGTAGTTAATTACTGTAACCTCTGTTTCTTCATAAAATCAACACTGCATCATGACCTAAACACCTAATGCTACTGTTTGCAGGATGGTTGTATGAAAGCTGCATTACATTATCCACCAATTGTGGCTCTTAAAGTTTAATTGCCTGGAATTCAACTCACTTAGATTTTAAACTTTATTACATGTATTCCTGCAAATATACCTTGAAAAGAGAGAAGCATTTCTGTGTCAAGTCACTTTCACATCTTTCACAAGAATGACAGGAATCAGCAACTGTAAATGTCAGTCTGTCACCAATTTGTACCTTCTCATGAGAACACTTGTGGTCAACAACCTCCACAACACCTTCATGACCCAAGATGCTAAAGAAACAGTAGCAAACTTCAGCAAAAATTTATGATTTGTGTCTGGTTGTTTTAAGCACAACCAGGAGAAATTTAGACCTAGTTTTCAAGCTCAACTAACAACTTGTATTTTAATTGGTTTTGTGGCTGATATACATTACTAGTTACCTGCAAAGCAAAAAAAATGAAAAGGAAGGTGAACTTTGCTAGGATACCTGCTTCAAATATCAAACTTGTTGTAGAAACGTACAAATTGGAGGAAGTGATAAAGGTTGATTTTTATCAATGAACATTTTCCATAGTCACACGAGTAAAGTTTCATATCCGTAAATAATAAAGCCAGGGTAAGCGCTTGCCAATGCAAACACTGACTATAGTAATATTTAATGCCACCTGAGCGATTCAAATCAAGTATTCAATAATATTTATAAAAAATTGTTTACATAAATCTCCTGGTTCCAGGGCTTGTTTATTCCGAATTGTTGTAAACCATGTACAAATTCTATAACTATATGTATTGTATTTTGAGTTTATACTGAAGATACATGTCAACAAAGCTATTTCTTTCAACAAAAACAGGTCACCGTATTTTGACAAACCTTGGTACTGGTTCTGTCCTTCTTCCTATAATCGTGTGCAGATCCGAGCCACATATCGTCGCCGCTTTCATCTTCCCTAGTATCTCTCCCTCTCTGAGTTGTGGCAGACCGGCAAATTCGGTTTCCAAAACCTTTTTAGGCCCATGAAATATAACCCTTTGTCCTTCTGTCGACGTGGCGCTGTCAGCGAGAACCGATAGCATTCTATTCGACGAGGATAAAATCTTCGCCGAGTGCGACAAACAAAATATCACCCTTTGTAGACACATGAAGAAAGAAGATCTTTGAAGTTATTGTGACAATCTAAACGTAAACAGTCCCAATATTCTAATTATAACACTTCAGCAATCAGCACGTGAATCACTCCATACTCACTGACCCTTGTTCTCGAAGTGAACGTAGAACGCGTCCGGTTGTCCGGTCCTTGATTTTGCCGGTAAAATATAATTTATTCAAGATCCATAATAATCCATAATCCATGGCAACCGATGATAATTCTGTTATTGCTTAGTTATCAATACGATTATTGCAATATTTACGCGTGGCACTTCGTGGTGAATTAGCGATATTGTTTCTTGTTTTCTGCAGAATTACGAAAATATTTTGTGCGAAATCCGGCAGTAATAATCTGAAGTTACTAATTGACCCTACTCCAAACTTAAAACCAGAACCACAATCATAAGCCTACAACTCCTTGGCCCTTGCAAATGACATTGTAAAAAAATACTCTTGTAAAAAAAAGACCCCAAAATCTTTGGGATTCTGTGACACTTGTTCGCATGTCAAACGATAAAATATCACATATTAGTTGTTCAGGAGGCGAATTTTAAACCATTCGACAACAATCAAGCAAGATATGTCTCACCATAGACAATCCAAAAGACATGTCTTTTGGATTGTCTATGGTCTCACCGATGCAGTGTCACTGATCTAGATGTATCATTGAGCTGTAAATGGATAATACCATTATTACCATACAATGCAAGAAGACTCTCAGACTCAATACAGTGTTTCGATCGGCAAGAGGCATGTCAATAAGTGTATCTATGCATGCCATAACTTGGCTATAGATATATAGCTCTCTATACATGGCTTCTTTTGAATTGGATATTATCATATCCTTAAACTGTGATATTATTCACGCAGAGTTGCAAACAAGCTAATTCCAGTACAAAAATCAACCAATCAGAAGCTAGATCGTAGACAAAACCAAATTATCATTTTCTTTACTTCATGCCACTTCAGGCGCATTTTCGAGTAATTCTAATATTTTTACACAAAACCGTGTTTGCTTTTCAGTCAATTGTAAAATGGAATTGATAATTAGTTCGCAACAATCAGACTGTTTATTTTATATTGGTACATTTAATACATTTTTGTTACACAGTCCATATTAGCATCGCACGACAAAATATCATCGTGCGTCATATGCTTTGTAATTATTTACTGATAAAACAGAAAATTTCAACACACATGTTTTAGGCACGGTTATATTTTTTTCTCTAAGTACTTGTTTTGGAAAGTAAGATTTAAGTAACATTCCCCAGGTCTGGCCAGGGATGGGGAAACCACCCCCACCTTCCCAGGGGGATGCCCCCTCTCCACCACGCGAATACCTAACACCACCAATTGTGCGCAAAACATGGGTATTATACTTATACGATGTAATATTTCATCATGACGTTATGTAAGATGCGTCTTTACATTTGACCAGGGCATTGACCACGGCCATTTGCAGATAAAAAAGGTTTTATTTCTACGGCGTTATCTACACCGGTTGTATAAACTTTTAACTATTGTTTGTGACAAATACACAGCCTGGGAAATTATGTTCAACTAAAGGCTAGTTTCCACTCAGAAAAAATCTCCTTTGGATCGGAACGGACAGGAAAATTTCCTTTGTCGGTGAGTTTTCAGACGGCGTTTATACAAAGGAATCTTTCCTGTCCTGTCCGATCCAAAGGAGAATTAATCTGAGTGGAAACTAGCCTTAACTTGTGACAATGTATGATAGGTGACACAAATCAACCACCACAACTGGAATAAGCATACTAAAATGAGTAAAAATTCGAAATTGACAACTGTAAGTTGTAAAATGCGGAAAATATATCCTTGCAAAATTCCCATACTTTGAAATATCGCGAGGAAATTGTAGTGATGCACCGAAATTAAAATTCACCGATTTTTCTGATAACATAATATTTGCGGGCCGATACCAATTCAATATTCTATACGATTTCAAAACATTCAACAAAGACATCATAGCAACTGAATTAAACTCAATTTTTTCGTCTACTAATATAAAGTTATTTGCTACGAAATGTTTTAAAACAACACATACATCGTTTTCAAACCTATATTTGATTTTAACACTTTACGGTCAGAATTACGGCCAGACCGATCCTGTTGTATTTTGGTACAGACAAGAATTTTGGTATATTAGAGTGTTTCAAGAACTCTGCCAACTGGAACTCTGCATTCAAGTATATCGTTATTTATATCTGCCTAGCGCGGGAAACATAGTTTTATCGTTATATTCTTGACGAAATACTCTATTTCAATTTAAAATATGACCGGTCTGACCACTTTGGCCGCTTAATGGAAAGCTCCCTAAGATGCACTGCCACTGATATCGGTATGTTTGCAAAATATTCATGGATACCTATTCCATTATAGAGCGGGTATGTCGATACCGACAAACCGATACAGATATCGGTACATCACTAGAAATTGTTAGCATTTTTCACAATATGTGATAACAATTCGCTAGTAATCAATACATTCAAATTTGACAAGGATATATAATCAGACTATTTTTGGTATAGTTTTTCTGGAAATGAACTCTGCATTGGTAGTTATGATTTATAAAATAACGTTAAGAATTTGAGCAATTTCATTGGTCGAGAGCCATGATCTATAAGAGGACAGATGCACGGAATGACGTCACACATAATTCTAACGAGTTTGAACAGTCAACTCTCGTTTTGTCACCCAATCACATTTTAGCACGCGTCTTAAGCTAGCCAATAGCATTTCTTCAATCCTATAGATCATGTACGCGTGATCTCTGCAAAATACTTAGTTTGACAATTTTCCAAGTGTTGGCACTAAAGACAAAAAGCAAAGTATAGGAAGAAAAAATATAGAAAGCAAAATAAGGACCAGGGTAATTTTAACCAACTTGGCCCATAAAAACCAATAGACCTTTTACATTATAAAAAACTTTTTGATCTATGCATGGAAATGCAATCAAATCACCACAGCTGAAGGTAGTCTATAATGCAAAAGGTCTATTCCTTAATGTGGTGTACTAGCCAAATAGAATTGTGTACTTTAAGTTAAACCCTGAATGCTTAAAAGTTTATACAACCTGTCTCTCATCTCTTTCTAAATTTAATGCATGGAGCCATTGATCTTAGGATAATGACTGGATGCCTATTTTGCAATTAAATCCCTGGACAAAATGAGTGTAGTATGATGGCTAGATATGATAGCACTAGCATTTCACTCATAAACACTTTAGTTAAAACATCAACAGCTGCATAGCAAACCCTACAGTCTAAGTTCAAGTCCTCATTTTGCATCGGTAGCACTACTTTCCTGCGGAATCATGACATCAGGTGGATCAGGAGGTGTTGAAAGACTTGTGATGTTTAATGCCTCCCATTCATCTGTGCCTTAAATAAACAAGAATCCTGATTGTTCATTATGGTATATCAGTATATGATATTTCTGAGTTTGCAACATTTGGCATCTTGAATGCATTATATTAATCACAACAGTGCTTTTTCCACTTAAAATATTAAACAACATAAAAATTGCTGTGCAAACCCATGATGACATACAGTGTCCACGTGATGAATCTTATGGACACTTATATTTGATTTCAGCACTTTCAAATTAAGAGCTTTGATCATTGCAATTACTTTTACCAGTAATATTGGCAAAATATTTACCAATACCTATATTTCCATTTCTATAGGCCTTTATTCAGATCATTAAAACTTATCGCAATGAATAAACTTTTCTCTTGAATTAAAATGTTTTTCCATTCTTACGGGTACCATATACCATAATATAATATCTCATATCTGGCTCCAAATTTTGCAAGTACCAGTAATATGAAAAGTACATTACCCAAAATTAATATTAAAACTGCAATTTACTGACATTTGTAAACCTAACAGCTGGTACTTTCTTGAAAAGTGCCAGTTTGCCAAATAAGACCTTCTGACAGAAACCCAAGAATGCGCACTTATCATTGAGTTTCAATTGTCATATACTGAAAACTTGTTAAAAATGAGGTGTTTCATTGAAACATATAATTAACCAATAACCTTAAAAACTAGGATTTTTTTATGGACAGTGTTGTTAACACCTTGTCTTTGGGTTCATACCCAACTGGTCAGTGTGCATGTGTACAGATTAACATGTACAAGTGCATTATATGTCCAGATAATTCTGCTCAATTTTTGGTCAATAGAAAGCCTACATATGGGTGCCTTATTTATAGATTAACAAAACTCTCTGTTACTGCCTTTCGCTTGGCATTAACCAAGCATATACCAACTCAATTAATACCAGACAATTTTATTGGCCAGTGGAGGAGCACGACCCAATGGTACACCAATAAACTCTATTATAAAGGAAAATGGATTGCCGCTCTGTCGCTATCTTCAAAGTTAAACTGACATGCATACTAATGTCTATGCCCTTTTTTCCCTTACAGTTAGCTTAATATGGAGGGTGAAATTTTCCACTTTTTCCACAATAACATTTGTTTAGTTTAGAAAACTAGTGTTACTTTCATAAATACAACTGAAATTAGCTAAAAGATAGCGGCAAACAAACTGCTTATGACTTTCACTTTGTACGTCAATTGCAATCACCTCAGCTTCACCCACTAATGGCAATCTAATGAACAGTTAACAATCCAGTGATCGAGTTAACTGGGATATAGCAGTTTATAGGTTTATTAATAATAGTTCTACTCTCAACCAAAGATGGTATTTGGGTTGGGTTGGCTGAGTGACTTCAAGTGGTAATTTCAAGGACAAAAATGCTCACTATCATGGCCAATCCAAACTATTCCCTTCTTAGAGATAAAGAAATCAAAAGTTACCTTCCACTTTGCAGGCCAAACCAATCATAGCGGGATTTTGTGGTCTGGCTGTTTGACTTGTGAAGCCGTAATCACCCAGCGTTTTATTATCGTCGAGAGCCTGTTCATCTTTGAACAATTTCTGATCTTCTGGCGCCGTCTTTGCAATGCCCTCGATCATTTTCTTCAGCTCAGACACGGTTGTTGACTCGGTACAATCGAGAAACATGGTGAGCTTCGCGCGACGAACCATCACAAATATTTCCTGCAAAGAGCAAGTATACAAACGATTTACGTCGAAATTGACAGCTTTGTATTAAGGAGTAGAGCGTAAGAAAAGCAACGTACCATTTTCGTTGATTTCACGGAAGAAAATGGCAAATTTCTGTTTAAAAAGTCACTTCGACATCAGAAAAATTTTCAATCTTTTTCCCTTTGTGAACAAGCGATAACTCTTATCAGCAGTTACACCCTTGACTGATGGGTAGTTACTTTATGTGACCCCTATTATAATGTATCACATATTATAGTGTATCACATACCTTAGTCCTCCTCAGTCTCCCCCAGCCACCCTTAGCCCTCCTTTGCCCTCCTTAGACATCCTTAGCCCTCCTTAGCCCTCCTTAGACATCCTTAGCCCTCCTTAGCCCACCTTAGCCCACCTTAGCCCTCCTTAGCCCTCCTTAGACATCCTTAGCCCTCCTTAGCCCTCCTTAGGCCTCCTTAGCCAACCTTAGCCCTCCTTAGCCCTCCTTAGGCCTCCTTAGCCCACCTTAGCCCACCTTAGCCCTCCTTAGCCCTCCTTAGACATCCTTAGCCCTCCTTAGCCCACCTTAGCCCACCTTAGCCCACCTTAGCCCTCTTTAGGCCTCCTTAGGCCTCCTTAGCCCTCCTTAGACATCCTTAGCCCACCTTAGCCCACCTTAGCCCTCCTTAGCCCTCCTTAGACATCCTTAGCCCTCCTTAGGCCTCCTTAGCCCACCTTAGCCCTCCTTAGGCCTTCTTAGCCCTCCTTAGACATCCTTAGCCCTCCTTAGCCCACCTTAGCCCACCTTAGCCCTCCTTAGGCCTCCTTAGCCCTCCTTAGACATCCTTAGCCCACCTTAGCCCACCTTAGCCCTCCTTAGCCCTCCTTAGACATCCTTAGCCCTCCTTAGGCCTCCTTAGCCCACCTTAGCCCTCCTTAGGCCTTCTTAGCCCTCCTTAGACCACCTTAGCCCTCCTTAGCCCTCCTTAGGTCTCCTTAGCCCTACTTAGCCATCCTTAGCCCTCCTTAGGCCTCCTTAGCCCTCCTTAACCCACCTTAGCCCACCTTAGCCCTCCTTAGGCCTCCTTAGCCCTCCTTAGCCCACCTTAGCCCTCCTTAGCCTTCCTTAGCCCTCCTTAGGCCTCCTTAGCCCTCCTTAGCCCTCCTTAGACATCCTTAGCCCTCCTTAGGCCTCCTTAGCCCACCTTAGCCCTCCTTAGGCCTTCTTAGCCCTCCTTAGACATCCTTAGCCCTCCTTAGCCCACCTTAGCCCACCTTAGCCCTCCTTAGGCCTCCTTAGGTCTCCTTAGCCCTCCTTAGACATCCTTAGCCCACCTTAGCCCACCTTAGCCCTCCTTAGCCCTCCTTAGACATCCTTAGCCCTCCTTAGGTCTCCTTAGCCCTCCTTAGCCCTCCTTAGCCATCCTTAGCCCTCCTTAGCCCTCCTTAGGCCTCCTTAGGCCTCCTTAGCCCACCTTAGCCCTCCTTAGCCCTCCTTAGGTCTCCTTAGCCCTCCTTAGCCCTCCTTAGCCATCCTTAGCCCTCCTTAGCCCTCCTTAGGCCTCCTTAGGCCTCCTTAGCCCTCCTTAGCCCTCCTTAGCCCTCCTTAGGTCTCCTTAGCCCTCCTTAGCCCTCCTTAGCCCTCCTTAGCCCTCCTTAGGCCTCTTTAGCCCTCCTTAGCCCACCTTAGCCCACCTTAGCCCTCCTTAGCCCTCCTTAGCCCTCCTTAGGCCTCCTTAGCCCTCCTTAGACATCCTTAGCCCTCCTTAGCCCTCCTTAGGCCTCCTTAGCCCTCCTTAGCCCTCCTTAGACATCCTTAGCTCTCCTTAGCCCTCCTTAGGCCTCCTTAGGCCTCCTTAGCCCTCCTTAGGCCTCCTTAGCCCTCCTTAGCCCTCCTTAGACATCCTTAGCCCTCCTTAGGCCTCCTTAGCCCTCCTTAGCCCACCTTAGCCCACCTTAGCCCTCCTTAGCCCTCCTTAGACATCCTTAGCCTTCCTTAGCCCACCTTAGCCCACCTTAGCCCTCCTTAGGCTTCCTTAGCCCTCCTTAGCCCTTCTTAGACATCCTTAGCCCTCCTTAGCCCTCCTTAGGCCTCCTTAGCCCCTCCTTAGCCCTCCTTAGACATCCTTAGCTCTCCTTAGCCCTCCTTAGGCCTCCTTAATTCACCTTAGACCTGCTTAGCCGTCTATACATCTTCTTATTTCTTTCCAAAAATATATCACATTACACGGAAAATACATAACATACCTTTTAAGGAGGTCTAAGGTAGGCTAAGGAGGGCTAAGGTTAGACTTATAGGCATGGCCCGATTGTGCTCGGCAACTTTTGAGCAACTTTTTACTTTTAGAGCAACTTCCTTTGTGCGAGCAACTTGAAGCAACATTCTTGTTTTGAAGCTATTTCTCAGCAACTTTTACGCTTTTTACTAAAATGCTTAAACATGATAGCATGAAACGTTTATAACTTCATTTTTTGCAATGCATTTATGTACGCGTACACTCCGTATGCGTGCCTTCTTACTATTTTTAGCAGTTATTTGGTAGAGTCAGTGTTTCCACAATGCAGGAAATGTCTTGTTTATTTAAGGTTCTCTGTTGTAAACGGGACTTTTTTGCCTTTTCAATGAGAAATAACACACACTCTAACAACGAAAAAGCGTTCAAAAATATAGGAAATTTTATGATGAGAAATTTCGTAGTTTGATTGTGGAAACACTGCCTGGGTTCCTGTTTACTTGAAAACAAGATAGCAGCTTATGAATAAGCACAAGTGTTAGTATTATACCAGAAGCAGCAGCCATTGCATTTCCTATTCTAGATATCCAAAAAAATTTTAAGTTTTGTTAATTAAAAGGACTAAAAGAATGAATAAAAGCGTACAAAAACTTCTTGCCATTGCATAATAGCCTTAATAAGTACAAGCAATATTTTGAGTTTAGTAGCAACTTTTCTCTGTTTCGAGCAACTTTTAAGCAACTTTTATGCTTTTTAGAGAGCAACTTTTTAGTTTCAGTGGGCAACATTTTGGCTTTTTACGAGCACAATCGGGCCATGCCTAAGGTCTAAGGAGGTCTAAGGAGGGCTAAGGAGGTCTAAGGTGGGCTAAGGCGGTCTAAGGAGGGCCAAGGAGGTCTAAAGAGTGCTAAGGAGGCCTAAGGAGGGCTAAAGAGGCCTAAGGAGGGCTAAGGAGGGCTAAGGTGGGCTAAGGAGGGCTAAGGTAGGCTAAGGTGGGCTAAGGAGGGCTAAGGAGGCCTAAGGAGGGCTAAGGAGGGCTAAGGAGGGCTAAGGTGGTCTAAGGAGGGCTAAGGAGGGCTAAGGAGGCCTAAGGAGGGCTAAGGAGGGCTAAGGTGGGCTAAGGTGGGCTAAGGAGGGCTAAGGAGGCCTAAGGAGGGCTAAGGAGGGCTAAGGTGGGCTAAGGTGGGCTAAGGAGGGCTAAGGATGTCTAAGGAGGGCTAAGGTGGGCTAAGGTGGGCTAAGGAGGGCTAAGGTGGTCTAAGGAGGGCTAAGGAGGGCTAAGGAGGCCTAAGGAGGGCTAAGGAGGGCTAAGGAGGCCTAAGGAGGGCTAAGGAGGGCTAAGGAGGGCTAAGGATGTCTAAGGAGACCTAAGGAGGGCTAAGGTGGGCTAAGGTGGGCTAAGGAGGGCTAAGGAGGGCTAAGGAGGGCTAAGGAGAGCTAAGGAGGGCTAAGGTGGTCTAAGGAGGGCTAAGGAGGGCTAAGGAGGCCTAAGGAGGGCTAAGGAGGGCTAAGGAGGGCTAAGGATGTCTAAGGAGGGCTAAGGTGGGCTAAGGAGGGCTAAGGAGGCCTAAGGAGGGCTAAGGAGGGCTAAGGAGGGCTAAGGTGGTCTAAGGAGGGCTAAGGAGGGCTAAGGAGGCCTAAGGAGGGCTAAGGAGGGCTAAGGAGGGCTAAGGAGGGCTAAGGATGTCTAAGGAGGGCTAAGGAGGGCTAAGGTGGGCTAAGAAGGGCTAAGGAGGCCTAAGGAGGGCTAAGGATGTCTAAGGATGTCTAAGGAGGGCTAAGGAGGGCTAAGGAGGGCTAAGGAGGGCAAAGGAGGGCTAAGGGTGGCTGGGGGAGACTGAGGAGGACTAAGGTATGTGATACACTATAATATGTGATACATTATAATAGGGGTCACATAAAGTAACTACCGACTGATGGAATACTTCATTATTACACATGTTGAAATGGTGGACGTTTCGAGGTAACAAAAGTTGCCAAGAAGTTGTCACTTTTCAGCCAGACTGACTAGTTGTGCTCGCTGTTCGCAGAAGTGTGAAACTCATTGAATTAAAAGACTAATTACAAAGCTGACAACTAACTTTATAAACGCTATAAGCCTATTATACTTTGTAAAGTTGTGTGTGTTTAACGGCAGGGTGATCACATCACCAAACTTCTTTTTATCTGTCTATTTTATCCTACTCAAAGCGTTGGGATGTGTTGTACGAATCCTATTTAGCGTTACTGTGATTAATTGTCAACGATTGAATATAAATTTTATATGCTATGTATGTAGTCAGTGCATTGTTGCAAAACTATCGTCGCATTCCGAGAAAACAGAAGTTTTCTTTCGGGATAAACGTAAAGTCTTTCCCTTTTATTTGATTCGGCTTTTTCGATATTCATGTAAACAATTTTCACCGTAGTTCAAAACTCGTTGTTGTAAAGAGGCCCCTCACTATATGTTACGGGAGGGTGCCGTCCGTCTACCAAGTGTCGCTAAATTGATTTCATATGCAGTAGCAGAATCTCCTGAGTAATGGTTGTGTAGACCTAATACAATTCGCTGCATTTCCATACTGGTTGATTCTGCTTATTTGAGGATTAACATGAGGTTCCCCGAAGATTATTTGTACCGTCGCTTCGTAGAGGCCGTTATTTGGCGTTGTCTCAACTTGAAGTTGATACATGCAACCACCTATGGAAAACATGATTGTATTAGTTAAAGGGCCTTTAGAGACTACTTCTCATTATGAAGATTCTTGTGGGGTTGATGATTGCGTAATATCAATATACTAAAAACTGTTCATTGTAAGCGAAATGTAGGTAAACAACTATAATAGACATAGCCGGAAATCCAATGGTAAATTTTTTCTCTGTTCTAGGCAGTTTTTGTATTTCCCAGTGGAGGGAGGATAGTGGGAAGGGCTAGAGATCCCGAATGGGGAAGGCTACTGCCTTCCCCCAGCCCCTGCTTGAAGCCATCTCAGTTGAACCACACATTGGCGAATTGGTATTCATAAGCGCAAAATAAGGGAGTATTATTGGTGTTTTTTCTAGGTGACTAGGTTTGTTTTTTGTCTTGTACAGTGGCGGATTCAGGGTAAGTCAGAATAAATTTCACGGCCATTTTCAATTTAAACTACCTTAATAAAAAACGCTATTGGTTATTCATTTCAAAACAATGTTTTTACATAAAAATATATCAATATGATTGCAAGTTGATGTAGAACTGTAGTTTATTCTGACTTACCCTGAATCTGCCACTGCGCGTTGTATATTGTGCGACTAAACAGCCTAAACTGTTCCGTTTTCTTGAATGAGAAATCGGTGTAATACAAAGTACAAATTATAAAACGCGTAACGGCGTGCCCGGGATTCAAAACGCCAATATGGAGGCAGATATGTTTATTATAAATCTAATTTACCCTTCAGGACATTTGTTGCGCCACTTTCTTCATTTCCTCCGATTTTCGACTTTATTAAAATTGCTGATTTAACTTTTCCCAGTTTTAAAGTTGCGCATTTTTGGTCGATGCCACTTTCTTTCAGCATGCGGTTAATTTTGCTGACGACAGTGAGCCCGCTCATCTGCACATCTTTGTGGTCAGCACTAACTGTATCCCAGTCTAAACACGGGCAGTAATGAAATGGTATCCCCGCCTGTTCGCAGGTTCTCCAGCCTATGTCTGTGAATAAACTTCTCCCGTGAGGCAAACCCTGCGGCTCTTTCGGGTACGTCAAAAGATGCCGAAGGGTGGCGTGGATATCGAAATGCGAGGTAAGAACTTCGGCGTTCCTTCGTAAGTTCGCATAGATTTCGGGATAAGAGGCCTGGAACCAAGGCGGGAAAGTCATAGACAGAAAAGGTAATCTCTCTTCCATCCGGCCAAGAATACTGGAACGGACAAAACCGTAGCGAAGTCCGTGATCTCCAAATAAAATTAACAAAGTATTATTAAGATAATTCTTATCTTTCAAATGCTTGAGAAAATTGAACAGCCTATCTTCGACCAGCGAAATAAAATTAAAAGATTCGTGATGGCAAAAATCTGCATTGAATTGAAACCCGAATTTTGGCGTGTTGGGGTAAGCGTCAAGGAAGCTTTGAACAGCGTCAAAACTAACGTTGTATATCGCTTGAGAGCCCAGGCAGTGACCCTTAATATACGTGCCTTTCTCTACCACTTTTCTAAACATCGATGTCATTTTGTTCAGGCCTGCATACCATAATGGCAGTAAGTAATGATCAATGGGTGGTTTACAAAAACCTTTAAGTCGTGCCGTAATCGCACCGTTCCAAACCTCGTCTTCACTATAGTATGTTACGTAGCCATGTTCTCGCATGTCTTTAAATATTAGTGGCCAGCGGTCGATACACTCGGCACCAGGCCTCCTAAAACAGTAAACCACGTGTTACAAAGGAATGAACCTAGGAACGGTCGTAATTTTCTTGAACAAGTCATTTTCTCCGATGATAAATAGTCCGGATGTAAATTTGTCTTACATAAAAATATTCTATCACGTAAGTTATTTTGACATGTTCACCACTTGTGACGAATATATAGAAAACCAGGCATAAAATAATCAAAAATTGCCTGTGTGGACTGGTTTTAACAATAAAACGGTTTTTTATTAACGGGAAGAGGAAAATCTTTGATATAGGAATGAAAAATTATTTTTGAAAAATTGCTGAACTCACCCTTTTCGGCCTTCAGGCAATTCATCTAGAAAACGACCAACAAGCATCCCTACGACATTCTCAGTGGTGCCATCACCAACAATCGAATGTCCATTGAATATGACCGAGTGTAGCTCGTCCCTCAAATACTCATAGACTGCTCCCAGTTTCCTATGAAAATGCGCGTGTGACGTGGAATCCATGCCCACCATCATAACGTTCAGCGGTATACCTGACTTAGTACTCGCACTGCGTTCTACATACTCCTTACGTGGTCGTACATCAAGGTGAAACTCTCTTTGGGCGTCACCATCGTCGGTTTGTACCTCAAGGTACACCATGTCTTCGTTTAGCTCCACTTCGGGATCCGACGGCGTCAACGTGCCCGTTCGGAAAACGTCGTAACCTTGCCCAGTGTCTCTCTTTCTTCGTAGAATTTGATAGTCAACCTTTCTTACATTTTTTCCTATAACGCGTCAAAGGAAGGTAAATGTTATTTATAAAATGACATGATAACGCGTGTTCTGATTGGACGAAGCCCGTGTTTGGATCAGGCCATCAAAACACGGAAATTTAATTCGCTTTTTGAAATCAAACTTTGAACACACCTTGTTGTTATTATTTTATAAAATAATTACTTAATGGTTTCCCGTGTTTGGATGGCTTGATTCAAATACTTAGGAATTATTGCTCACAATATTCTCGCACGTGTTTGAATCGGAACCATTAAATAATCGTTTTGAGACAACCGGCAGTCTAAACTCCCAAGGCGATATTCTAACTTCGGCAAGTGGACTGCATCAGTAAAGACTGGAACGATAGCTGCCGGCCATTTCGCTGAAGCTACAATTTGAAGCTGAATTTGGTACTGGTCACCTTTAATTCTATTGTTTTTGACGGCCTGATCGCCTCCCGTGAAGACAAAGATAATAGAAAGTGACTGGTACTCAAAATTGGTTTGAATTTGTTGATCTCTAACATATTTTGTAGCCCAATTGAAACAAATTTTATTGCTTTTATTATTTCTGATTCGCTCAAGTTGTGTAGGGAAATTACATGAACTAAATAAATTATATTCAAGAGCCTATTATTATGTTAAGAGCCTATCGAAAACCATCTACTACCACAACAAGTCTAAAAAAATTTAGTTGAATGATGTGATCTAGCAAACCCAATCTCCAACACCATGTGTCAGTATAATTATCAGCACCTGTGATGTATCAGGATCTGATGTCAAAATATCCGAACCCGCATGACCGCACCGCGAATGCAACAAACCTGGAGTGATTCTTAGGACTCCATTTTGATAAAAAGTCAAGTTTTTCTTTCCTTTACAAACCAAAGGCGGAACCTTTTCGATCATTTTCATAACAGTTGGATCAAAAGGGTCAATAATAGGAAGATTACAGATTTTGTTCTTAGTTTTCTTATCCACGCTTGACTTTGCTTGGCTTTCCTGAGGGTTTTGAAAAGGAGTAACACTCAATCATAAAGTACTATATGCATACACTAACGGATTTGATATGTATAATTTTCAACTTCCGAATTCCTAGCTCATGTTCAGATAGTAACTGTCTAAGACATATATATCTAGTCACACAATGAGTAGTTATAAGACACTGCAGAAGGAAATGCTTTGCAGTTCCTCAAATGACATTGCTGTAATATATATCAGAACGCTTTTATGTAAAATGAAGTATGGACTGATTCGAACTGAACTGAGCCCGCACTCAAGCTGTACATTTTATTTTTGGGCCACCATGTTTATTAGTAGTTTTTCTTTTGCTGATTAAAGCCTGATTTTTATAGGCATATTTATGCCATTACTTCAATACAAGGTATCAGCAATATTCGCATGATAAGGTTTTACGACCTGGGGCCGGTTGTTCAAAAGCTGGTTAAATTTAACCCTGGGTTAGTGCTAAACCTGGGTTAAAATCCTTAAGGACTAAATTGGATATAAGAACGTTTTCGATTGGTCAATAAACGAGCGTCAAAACTTTACCCGACGAGGATATATTGTCAGTCGAAAGATTATATGCCGTGAGGGCAGGGTCGCAGGGACGTTGTTTTGAACAGCAATTTCCGTGCAAAGAATTTTGGAAAGATTCGAAATGAAAGGCCATTTTGTATGATAAACGATGTCGATGTGAAATAAAATCAAGCAAATTATAAACAATCTATTTTAAAATTTCAGGCATTCTTTGAATATTCGAAATTCAGGAACAAACGTAGCCTTACCACTTGCTGCCAATCAAAAGAATCGAATTTTGGCATCCGAAACAAATATTTCGATTACGATGTTTCAATTTGTACGGTTGTATTCATTTATCGTGTATTGCATTGAAGCGAAGATAAATAAATCAATACATCAGCTGAAACCGAATGAAGTCAAACTTAAATAATTCTTTGCTCTCGAAATTATTCGTAAAACCTTTCAAAAGTGTTTAATTCATGACGAATTATACGTGTTTACGTGTTTCAGCTCCTTATTCATCCATTTTGAATCGAAGTTAACCAAGGATTAAAAAGTTAACCCACCTAGCTAGCAGGGTTAATTTTTTTATCAATTTTAACCCAGGGTTAATGCTTACCGAGCTTTGTGCAACGCAAATCAACCAAGGTTTAAAATTTAACCCTGGGTTAGGCATTTTTAACCCTGTGTTAGCGTTAACCGGCTTTTGAACAACCGGCCCCTGGGGCTGGTTGTATAAAACTCTTTAACTACATTTTGCATAAGTTCCAATATAACCAAGAAGCAGCGTGCAGCGTCTTCAAACAACTTAGCATCAAATGTGGTATAACAACTGCCTAAATAGACAAAACACTTCTCGACTAACTCTCCTGACTCATACTAACTCTCTTGACGAAGGCCCTCAGGTCGAAACGTCGAGAAGTGTTTTTGTCTATTTAGGCAGTTGTTATACCACAATTGATGCTAAGTTACATTTTGCATAGTTAAATCCCATAGCTAAACACTGACTGGTTCCCAGAACACTAAAGAATATACTTTAGGAATAGTGACTTACCTTTGGGGACTTGTGCACAATGCGGTTATTGCGAATAAACCACGATTTTCATGATCTGTCACCAGGCAACAAGAAATCACGTGATTGATTTTGACCAATCGCGTGCATTGATTTAGGCCATGCACGAAGATTGTATATTAGTATAGATTGTTTCACGAACTTACCTCTGGGGGTGCGCAATTTTCCTCTTTGATTTCTATGAAATGCCTATATTCCTTTTTCAGAACAGTTACAACGCCCAGAGTAAATTTCGGTCTCTCTAAAACGCCCGACTTCAATCTGACGGTGTTTGTTCCAAGATTATAGGTTAATCCTTTGCATTTTTCACCAAGGTTAAGGCATAACTTCATCCCATTGCGCTCGTTCATAGGGAACGTGCAGGTATTGTTCACTATCGAGCTTTTGCAACTGAAATCCCCGGATATCATGTCGGCATTAGCTACCTATAACAGAAAGATTGTACGAGGTCATGCACCATAGAAAAAGGGATTTTCTGAGAGTTTTTGATATTCCTGGATAATTATCCTCTACTACGTCTGTCTCTAACGTTCAAAAACTACCTTCAAACTTGGCTTTAAAGATGGCGGCCAAGTTAGCGTTCCAGATTTTTTTATAGTTCACTGGTCACAGTTGAAAGAGAAAACCATGCAAGCAAAAAGTTTTGCTCCATCGAAAAATTAAGCCTACGGTGGTAGTGAAAACCGCTCTAAGAGAGAGGGAAAGGTAAATGTATCAGAGAAAGAGAGAAATAGTGGCCACGGGAGAAGAACATGTACAATAATCATCCAAAGATTTTCTACTCGGCCTCTCTGTAAGGCTGTGTATAAACTTTACAGACTACATTAGATGAACATGCAGCGTGGTCAACTTGCAACATTATCCCATTCTATCCCATTAGATTTCTTCGTGCATACAATACACACGTGATGCACACACGATACACACGTGATACACACACGATACACGCGTGATACACATTCGATACACACGTGATACACACACGATACACACGTGAAGTAACAGTTTCATCACAGGTATAAAAATTATTGACTCCTTTTGGTGAACAAGGTCAGAGCTGTATATAAAACTAATTAAGACTTAATTCCTAACACTACCGGCTGATTTTATACCATTAATCCCTGATTAAACAAGTACACATCCACCTGCTTAGAATACAATTGAAACTGGGGAATTCAAATCGCCTGTTCGTTAAGAACAGAGTAGAATTCCTGAAAAAAATTTGACTGCTGCATGGTACAGCGTTTATTTTAGACATCTGATCTGACAAATTATCTCGACATGATAGTCAATATTTCGTTGAGTTTGTAGCTATGGTTCTTAAAACTTATTTCGCTACATTTTCATTAGTCAAATTGTGTTTAATAACGTTCAGTTACACGATTCTGACTGTTCGAAGTATGTATATTAAAAAATAGGCAATATGCGTATATATCCTGTTTTGTACATAGGCCATATATAACTGTTTAAGCCTTGGACGCTAAAACGAGCGGGGGGCAGCAAATTTCTTGTACAGCGTCGCTTTTATAGCTGCTCAACACTACAGATTTTTAATTATTGTAAAGAAAGATTAACATGCAGCCAAGAAATGTAATTCTAGCTATAGCCGACCAAGGCTGAAATCCAATTCTTGATATAAATATTGCAGGCCAGAACATGCATATACCCTTAAACCATTAAAACACCAAATTAGGAAACGATTCGTATTTATGTCGAAATTTAAACGTTTTCAGGAAACAAGTCAATGTAATTATGCGTTCATGTTTCAGACGTCGAACTTTCATGTGCTGATTGCCGAACCTAATGTAGATGAGGTGTCTCTGCTGAAGGTATAATTCGCGTTCGATTCGACACATTTAAGTGAAAAATTTCACGTCTGGAAGGGGCCTATTAAAAGAGTCGCGCATTAATATCCTTAAAAAAGCTCCCTTTTTGTGGGTAGCCTGCGCATGCGCGGCTAACAACTATGCAGTCGAAAAGTGTCCGGATGTATGTTTGTAAGGGCCACATCTTCGGCAATCGTCGGATGTACGAAAGATGACGAACGGAACGTTCTACTTCCGGAAAATTTCGTTGTTTTCGTTGAAGCAACCGAAGTTACGTTAATACGTTTGTCAAATTTTAAAGTGAAGTTGAGTACTTTAAAGACGAAAAAGCGGTGATCGGTGAGCGTTGAATCTACAACTACGAAGTTGCACCAATAGGAAATAAATAGTAACAAGTTGCCCTGTTTAATAACTCATAATGCAATATTTCACCTGTCAATTTCTTGCTTGTGGACATGCAGCTATTAA